ATTACATTAGATAATAAAGGTAATGTGTAAGTGATCGATGAGCAGCTGTTATTATTTTATTAAGTATCTCTGGAACTCACAAAAACATGTTACTCCTCGACTTTGTTGCTGAAACCACACGTGACCATCATTAGTTTTAAGATTTGCAAATAAAGTATGTTCTGAAATAGGAGACTGGAGGGTTGTGACTTGAAAACCTATCAAGTAAGAGTTAGATGCAGGGTCCAGGAATGTTAAAAGAACAGACATTACTGATCTGGCCGCCTGAACTGGGGTGGGTGTCCTACTGTATGCTTTCACATTCGCCTTTAATAATCTCCTCTCCATTCATAATAACTATGATTTAATGTCTAAGCTTCAAATGCAGGGGAGCAGGAGCTGTGTCTTGCTCATTGCTGTATCCATAAGAATAAGTTTCAGTGACTATACGCTGAATGAATAGGGTGAAGAGCTGATTGCAAAGAACACACAGAAGAGCTGGAAGTTTTCGATCCCTCCCCAGATTTCAACCTCCTGAATCAGGACAAGCTCCCACTCCTCCCCAAGTGTTTACAGAATTCCTTGAGAAGTGAGCAGAGTCAGGGAGTGCCAGGTTTTGGAAAGGCAGGCTCTGGGCATTGGCTCCTGCCCTTCCTTAATTAAGTTTCCTCCAAAAGAATTTCTTAGAGGTTTCTGAAAATCTGATTTTCAGACATCCCAGGACCACTGGGGGCTTGGGCAGTGGGCTCCAGCAGTCAGAAAGCAGAATGCAGCTTCAACATAATTCAACAAGCATTTTTGACACCCGCCATGTGCCAAGCACATGTCAAGCACACATCCCACACTAGATGGTGTTCAGCATGCAATTTCTCTTTTAAATAAATGCTTATCTTGATCGAAGCCATGCATGCACATGGTTCAAATGCCAAATACTGCTGCAAGTTTCACAAGCGAGGCCTGGATCCCTGCACCACTATCCCTCACAAACCCATCCTGCTTCTCCGGCACCTCCTCCAACTCTCTTTGTTCTTCATTCTGGGGTTTACCTCCAGATTTCTAGATAATAATGGGGATTCCATTTTAGATACTATTGACTTCCTTTTGTGATAAATGAGGATTTAGCCCCTTTCCCTGTCCCCTTTTCACCTCATTCATCCCACTGTAGTTATAACACAATTTTTGGGAAAATTCATCTTTGGGGGTTTTATTATTATGACCATGTAAATGTTGTTCACTGTTGAGTTAATAAAAGTTGTTTCATTTTTTATTTGAATTCATTACTAAGTCTTCCCACTTTCCCTGGCAGCCATAAAACAGCTCTCAGTACAATTATCCAAAAAGTCGACTCCAGTCAGAATGATCCTGCATTTTCTTTTTCTCCAGTCCCTCCTGGCCCCCCACCAACACACCTCCTCTCTGGAGGTCCCCAACTTCCTGCCCCAATCCAGATGGATGGCAGTGGCTGTCCAGGCTCTGCTTCATGGTTCTTGAGTTGAGACCATCCTCTTCCATCCCCACGAGTCCCCTCAGCCTCACTCCTGCTCAGGTTCCCCTGGACACCTGTTTCCTAGATCCCCTTTTTCTGGTCACCCCCTCATCTTGGTGGACAACACATCCTCTCTTAGCTTCCAAACAAAGAGGTAACTTTCTTGAGACTCTGCATATCTGAAAACACCTCCATTCTACCTGCACAGATAGGAGTTTAGCTTTAGAATTCTTGGTTGAGCATCGTGTCTGTTCAAGGTGTTGACAGCTTTATCCCAGGATCTTCATGTCCCCACGTACTGCTGAGAACTCTGATTCCTTTCTGATTCTTGGACATTTGTATGTGAGCAGGTTTTTCTGAAAATCTTAAAATCTTGCCTTTATCCCTGATATCCCAAAATCTTGCAGAGATAGACCTGAGTGTAGAACTGCTTAATTCAGCTGAGCCCTGGTCTGGACAGCTCAATCTGGGAAATTGTCTGGTGTTTTTCCACTAATATCTCCCCCCACCTTTATTTTTACTGTTCTGCCTAGAACTTCTGCTAACCAGGTCTCTGGACTGAGCCTCTCATGTTCTGACCTTTTATCTCCTATAATCTATTCCTGAATTTTTTTAGTTCTTTGCATGAGATCTGATGTTTGCATCCAACCCTTTTCCCTTGAAACATTAAATCAGCTATCACTGTTTTAATTTCAAAAGTTGATAGCAAGGAGGGGTTGGGCTCTTGAAGTCACCACTGTCCCCAGATAGGCTTAAGCCCAGTGCCCACAAGAGCGTTTCTCTTGCCTTCACAAGGTGACACCATTGGCCTCACTGGCCTTTTTGTGTGTGTGTCTTTTAGAAACCAACTTATCCTCCAAGTTCTCTTAGGACTTATGCCTTCTCCTTTTCTCTGTGGTCCAAGTCTGGGCTCCCTGTTGAATCATTCAGCCCCTTTCCACAAGGCTGAACCCTACTTCTAGTAAATCATGTCTCCTGTTGATATTCTTAGTTAATAGTCTAGATTCCCCAAGGACTCTGAGAAATGTCAGTCACCTGGAAGTTCTCAGAACTGCAGGAACCCTCTCCCTCACATTGTACCTCCAGGTATGAACCCAGGCCGGACCACAGTCTACCACATTCTCTTGATTTCAGACTGTTTGGAGTCAGGAGAGGGTAAGAGAAAGAGCATGGATTTGCCCTCAGCCAGACATGGGTTCTTAGTCTCTTTCCAACTCTGACCTTGGAAAGAGAACTTAACCTCTCTGAACTTCAGTGCTATTAATGGCAATGTTAATAGTTGTGAGGATTAAAAGAGGATGTAGACTTAATGCCTACTTAAGGCAGACTTGTGGTTTTAAGATGGGAAAGATGTTTCTGTCCCTCTTCTCTTGAAATCCATTCCCAAATAACAAAGAGAGCAAGAAAACCTTTACAGATTTCATTTTCAGTGAAACTAGGAGAAGCTGGCAATCCCATCTGCCATATGAAAAGGCAGAAATGGGATGGAGGAATAGTAAATGCTTTAGCAGAACAGGGGAAGATCACACTGAAACACCTGTCAAAGGAGACACATCAACTAGAAGTGAATCAGCTTCTCCTGCAGAGCCTTGGAGGTCTCAGGAGATGCTGGATGCTGGACATGGTGGAAGGTGGGGCTGGAGAGAGATGCAGTGGAGGGGTTTGTGTAAGAGGTAGCTCCTATCCTGGTTCCTCAAAGCCAGGGGCCTAGGACCATTCTATAAGAGACAGGAGGCATCCATACAGATTAGAGAACATCCATAAGGATTATAGAGTTGAAGGTCCAGATGGGATTAAGTGAATATATATTCACATCCAATGTCCCTTGCTAGGTTTTAACCAAGCAGGAGTTGGGAAGGTCCTCTGGAGAAACAGAATTGCCCCAAAGGTACTTGGAGGTACCAGTGAAAATTGCCCTATGACTTGCCCTTTCACAGAGATTCCAATCAACTTTTCACAACCTGATGCTCAATAGTAATCAACAATCTCCAACAAGAAAGAAACAGATTAAAACAAAGGTAAGGAGGAACTAAGAAAAGAGAGACCAGAATACTCGCTGGGAGATCAGAGAAGATAGTACATTTAAAAAATAAGAACAATATGCTATATGTTTATTTCTAAAAATCAGAACCAGAAAGTGCTTTTGAAATTAAAGCAGTGGTGGCTGATCTAATGTTTTAAGAGAAAAGGGTTGGATGCTAACATCAGATCTCACGCAAAGAACTAAAAAAGATTCAGGAATAGATTATAGGAGATAAAAGATAAGAAGATGAGAGGCTCAGTCCAGAGACTAAATATCTGGCTAACAGGCATTTAGGCAGAACAGTAAAAATAAAGGGGGTGGGGCAGGGGCAGTATTAGCAGGAAAACAGAAGAAAATTTCCCAGAATGAATGGCCCAAACCAGTGTCAGCAAAATGAATGAAAAAGGTCTACATCAAGGCTTATATCTGCAAGATTTCAGGATATCAGGGTTAAAGGCAAGATTCTAAGATTTCCAGAAAAAACCCACTTGCATACAAATGTCCAAGAACCAGAATGGCATCAGATTTCTCAACAGTATTGTGGGAACCTAGGAAATCCTGGGCCCAAACAGTCATTGCTTTGAACTTTCAGGTGACTAATAGGGTTGGTGATAGAGCAACTTAGAACTGACAGTGATGGTCCATCCTGTGTGTGCGTGGTTCACTTTTTTGACCCAAGGGTAGGTCCTTACATTAACTCTAACTTCATCTTATTGGAGTTTGCTAAAGGATGACACGTGGTTTTCACTTCACAGACTATCCTTGATCAGGGATGTCTGCCTGGGCTACCACTGGGAGAATAATTCTGTAGCTTTGCCCAAGCTCAGGTGAACAGCGGGGTGCGCTGCCTCCCGTGGGTGTAGAATGGGAGCAAGTGCATGTTATCACCAGTTGAGTCCGCCTCCTCTTCCCAGATTTGTGCCCTCCATGAACGGTATCAGGATGCTCTCAATGTCCTTATTTAAGACACTGGCAAAAATTGATTCAGACAGACCCAAGGACGGTGCTATTAGGTGCTAAGGTGCAGTTTTGAGACAGGCCTGGAGCTTGGCATTGATACACAATCACTGGATAGAGCCTGTTACACTTAGGGCTATTTGTGGAATTGATTTCCAGGACACATCTTCCCATCTGGTGTCCCAGAGAGACGTTCTCTGCAAAACTGCCACCTGGATATGACAGAGGAGGTTGTGTTTTTAGGTCCATTCTTAAGATGCATAAACCAGAATATTGAGAAGTGAATGGATCACACAGAAGAGAAGAGAAAGCCCTCACATGTATGATCCCCGGGGGTCCTGAGTTTAGACAGCACCACTTGGAGGACTCCAGCCCACAGTTTCTTTTCACATCCCGAGTAAATGCTGAGTCCCGTGGCGGGGAGAGCAGTGAGGGTGACACTGAACATGAGCAAGCACGTCCCTCCAAGACACAAAAATAGACAGACACACTCCACCTCAAGCAGCTCATACTTTTATCATAAAATACACACTTTCTAAAGTTAAGTGTCTTACTTTTATTTGAACGACAACAAAAACAAAAATCACTCATGTTAGCTAAATACAGGTGCTTATGTGGTTGGGCAAGTGAGCATGAAGATGAGGGTGTAGGTGGCTTGGGCTGTGTGTGTGTGTGTGTGTGTGTGTGTGTGTGTGTGTGTGTGCATGCGTGTGTGTGTGTGTGGTGTTGTTCAATAGATGAGTCTGGTCTTGCTGTTTTCTGTCTGAGACCTGGTCGGAGGACTCGCTTTCCAAACTTCATACCAAGCTGTTTGCAGAACCCAGAAATCCAGAGCCCTTAGCCCTGATCCTAGGGCTAAGGTAGGAGGAGGGAGAAGAAGAGGAGGTCTAAAAATTTTTGCCATTCCCGCTGGAGGAAAAATAAGGGCTGTTCCTCAGGGCCCCAGCAGACGTTGAGCCGAACCTGGAAGAAAAAGATGATGGATGTCATGATGAAATTCCTGATGGTAGCAGAGATATTAGGAAAAGTAATATGTGAATTTTGTGGCTGGCTGTCCAAGACAGGGAAGATCCTGATCCTGACAGCCCTGGAGGCTAAAAGCTTTTGCTATGGGAAAATAAAATGTTAAAAATGACACAATAAAGAGCTGCTTCTGCTACTTAGGTTAGGAAGCCCCTGGCAGCCTGAGGGATTATTTCTGTGGGCCTGTGCTCTCTCCGTGACCGGGACCACATCAGGGCATCCAGAGCAGGGGGCCTCTCTGGGTCTGAGCACCTTCCCTGTGGCCCTGCAGCCACTCTAGCTGCCTTGGAGCACCAGGTGTGTCCCTCAGGAAATTCCACAATGTCAGAGAACTCAGAGCCAGTGTGAAATCTTGGAGTCTGGATAATCCTTCTCCTCTTATTAGCACCAAGCTGAATCAAGTCCTCCATGTCAAAACCAGTCTGAGAAGTAAGCACTGAGACATCATTCAGGGCCTGGGACTTTGCTAGACCTTCAGGGAAGGAAGACCCAGGAAGATCTGAGTCTCACCCTCCAAGGGTAGAAATACACACACTTCTGCTTTCTCTCCCTGGCACATTCGTCTTCATACTTCAAAATAGAGTTCAAAAGCCATCTCCCCTGTGACCTCCTCCCTGACCTTTCCAGATGGAAACATTTACTCACACATCCAGGGTCCTATTGCAATTTCTTCCCCTATTTGCCAGGATACTTTAAATGAATGGGAACAGTGCTCAGTGCAAACCGCAAGTGGTAGATTTAGTTTAATCCAGGGATTCTCTGTCACTTTTCAGCTGGGCAGATGCATATTACAAAAGACGTTCACATTCATGGCACCCACCCATGAATTGATGAAACAAAACAAAAAGGGTGGGGGAAAGGGGGGTAAGAAGCGATGGGAACAGGTCCCCGTTAATTTGTAATGCCTCAGCTGCTGTCAGTATCTGTCCCTCACTCTGAGTGTCCAGGGCAAGGCTTTAGGTTACTTTGATTCCCTTCTCATTAAGTTAAATTCCATGAGAGCTGGGACATTATCTGGGCTGCTCACCATTCTGCACCCAGCACCCAGCCTGGGATCTGGCAAGAGGTAGGCATCTGATAAGCAGTTATGCTGGCATTAACCCCATCTCTTTTTCTCTTTTTCAAAAATCATATTGGAAAAGAAATTATTGAAAGTGATGTTGTTAGAGCAAGCCCCTGGATTCACTCTGATTTGCAAAATAAAGGCTGTAGCCCATACTTTAGCATTTTGTCATTATCAGTAACAAATGACTCACGGCACACTTCATATCTGATTGCCACAGCTTATGCAGCCAGGCCGTTCTGGTGCAGCACTTCTGATACGATAACTGGCAAGGGCATGGTCTGGACAGGATGTCTTCTAGAGGGCTAGGAAGAGGGGTAATCCATACGGACCAGAATTATCAAGGAATGCTTCCTGGAGGAAGAGGAGAAGCTTGAACTACCTCTTGAACATGGGGAACTGTGCTGGTTTGTCTGCAACAGTTTCTACACCAGTATTTCCAATGTGATTATTATTTGTGCTCCTTTACTCTCAAATTATTATTGTTTGGAAGATAAATTGTTTGGTTATCCTACCCTGGTGAATGCATGCAAATTGATTAGTCAGCTGGAAGTGAGGGTTCCTCTCCTCCTTCCCTGAGAACATAGAGGCCACCAGCTCCTTCTCCTCCCAGTCCAATAGTTTGATTCCTTGGTTCTCTTCTTTGCTCCTGAGCCACAGGAAGCATCGACCCTCCTTGTCTCCCAGACCGAATTCTCCACCTAGGCCCTTGTATCCTTCCCTGCCAGTGCAGCCTGTCCCAGACCTTGTCTGTCCTGCATGAATGATTTGTTCATGCAGAAAGTATTTACTGAGGACCTTGTATGTGCCTGGCACTGTTCCAGGCACTGGTTACTGGAGTGAACAAGACAAAGTTATTCCTTCTCTCATTCCAGTGGGAAGAGAGATGACAAGGGAATAAACAAGGGAGGTGGGAAGGAAAAGAATCAGTGTCAAATTGGGGGATTTGGCCCTAATCCTATACACTGAGTTTCTTGAACTGGGGCACATGCTCCCCGGGGTGTGCCCAGGAGATTCAGATTCTCAGAGATGACATGGCACAGCCTGCCTCTTAGAGCATCAATATTAGTTGAAGACATTATGTGGAATTTTCAGCTAAAACATTGAGTGTGCATTGGCTGTTTGCTGCTAAGCCCCCTTCTGCTGCTTGGTGTACTTTGGTGGAAAAGTGTGAGGTCCGGGTCAGCAGGGAAGGGCCCTTCAGCAGGGCCTGTCGCAAAGTCAACGGGATATTCAGATCAGCCTAGGAAGGAGCTCAGGGTGCAGCAATTTGGGGCAGAGAGTTCTTAGATTACCTGGCCATGTCCCGCAGAGAACCAAGCAAAGGAGCAAAGGTGGATGCATTGTGCTCCACTACCAGCTACCTGCTATTGGGACGGTGGGTGGGGGCATCCATTTCTGCAACCAGACTGTAGGGTCCCCAGACCAAAAAAGGGCCTACAAAAGGGACCCCTGGACCCCAGACCCAGGCCCACCTGCACATCAGGTCCATCCAGGACCCACACAGCCTCCAGACACAGGCACAGGGCCCTCCCCACCCACAGACATGGAATGCAAGCACCCAGAAAGCACCAGTGAGACCCAACACGCTTGCCTCCCCATCTCCTGAAGCTTTCTGGAAACAAGCTGGACTTCCAGAGTGTTCCGAGGACTCACCCATATGCCTGGGGGATGAGGTACTGCAGCCCATCACTTGCCATGAGGGAAGGGTCTCGGGGATTGGTGGAGAGCTTCGGGGGTGTCCCCTGAGGGTATTGATAGTTGGGCTGGATGAAGGGGATGTAGCTCAGTAGGGGGTTGTAGGAAGAGTGGAAAATCTGCTGTCCCATCTGCTGTAGGTTATATGGCATCACCTGCAAGTCAGAGAGGGGAGAGGGGCTAGGTCCACAGAGCCCACTGCTTCCATACATCAGTTCCCCAGCTGTGCCCCTCACCCTAACTTCCGCACCCACCCTTCAAGGCAACACGTTGAAATGAAAATGGTACAGGGCTCAGCTTCTGTATGTGAGGCAGGAGAGTTACTTAATATATCTGAGCCTCAGCTTCCTCATCTGTAAAACAGGCAGACACTATCTCCACTGTACAGGGATTGAGTCAGTTTCTTAAGTAAAGAGAATGGCACAGGATAAATAGCCAGTAAGTGTCATTTCTACTCTCTTCCCTGTCTCCCCATCTTTCCCTCTATCAAAAACAATCCACAACACCCCTTGGTCATTTTTAAGTCTTACTATCTCAAAAAATGCTGTTGAGATTAATACATTCCTGGCTTCTCCCTCAGGATCTCAAGAGATTCCAAGTCTAAGACAGCCTTGCCCAGTGGAAATTCCTGTGATGGACGATGGAAATGCTTCATATCCACACTGCCCCATATAGGAGCTACCAGCCCTAGGTGGTTACCGAGCACCTGAACTGTGGTTAGTGTGACTAAGAAACTGGGTTTTCAATTTTACTTAATTGATTTAAACTTGAATAGCCATGCATGGCTAATAGTGATGGCACTGACAGTGTGAGTCCAGAGGAAACAGCAAAAGAGGGCAATGAGATTCACTTCAAATCCTAGAAAAAAATAGGAGCTCAGTGGGATTTCAGAAATGACCTGGATCAGACACCCACCCAGAACTAGGGGGATCACTATCTTGCCCCTGACAAGACAGGGACCCATTTATCCTATTTGCTGATATATTATTAGCCCTAAGACTGTGCCTTGCCCAGCATGTTAAATGAATGAATGAATAAATGATAAAGGAAGAGGAGGAAGGAAAGAAGAGAGTGGCTGTTTGAATACCTAAAATGACGGGGAGCTCATTACATCACGAGCACTGTATTCCACCCCTGACAGCTCCACGTGTCAGAAAAATCTCCAGTATAGAGCTGATATCTATCCTTCTGAGGGGAGTTTTAGTTAAAACAGGGGAAACTTCTGGACTTCCACTTTAAAAGCAAGAATCTGGGGTCCCAGCTGTGGAGGGATTTGGATTTGCTGGCACTTACTGCGCACTTGCAGTATGCCAACCCTCTCATATGGATCCTCTCATTAAACTCCAAACAGCCCTGTGAGGCAGTACCATTAAAATACCCATTTTAGAGAAGAGGAAACTGAGGCTCAGAGAAGTTAAGCAATTTGCTTAGTGTTTCAAAGTGTCCGAGTTGTGGTCAGAACCCCCAGGGCAGTAAGCCAGGAGCCTGTGACCCTGCACTTCACCTCTCTGCCCGCTCCCTCTGAAAGCCTGAGCCCCTCCACCCCGTCCCCCCACTACACCTCCCCCAGTGGACAGGTAGGACCTAGTGAGGCTAGATGTGGGCACCCAAACCCCAAAATGATGAGCTAAAGTTCAGAAAGAGGAGAGCTCACAGGGAGAGCCCAGAAAGGCACCAGCCAGGACAGACACCTCTGGGTCAGCATGGCAGAAAATACCCAGGTTTTTGCAGTTGGGTAGGGGGGTCCCTGGGAGGAGAGTGACAGGAAAGAAAAGATGCATGTCCTAGCACGTTTCCGAGCTTTACTCAAAAATATAGCCCCAACTATATGAAAAACTGATAACAACTGTAAAATAAAGCTGTATGCACTGCTCTGAAAACAGCTCCAAGATAGACTCTTTGCTGGCAAAAGCATCGGTAGAACAATGCGCGCAGAATGCCCCATTTGTACAAAAAGGTTTGCATGACTAGATACTATGCAAAGATATTTAAGAAAACCAGTAACAATGATTGCCTCTAAGATATTTTTATTTTGTGCCATGTTCTTATTTTACTTTTCAAATATATGCACATACATAGCTCTGTCTGAAAGCATCATCTTTGGAACTAGGTGGGCTATACCACTGGTGATGGGTTGGAGGTGATGTGGCTGGGAATCTGTGAGTCAGTCTGCCTCTCATCTCTATTTCATCTCAGGATGCAAAACTCCTACGGCTGAAAAAGCAATTCTGGCCCACCTGATAAAGTAACCTATACCTACAGGCATTTTTCTACCCTCTGGAACATTCTAACATACTTCACTTCAGAGGTGCAGCTTGCAGAGAAAAGATGGGGCTCCCCAGGGAGAGAGCAGAGGCCTGGGAGTCTGAGTCTGAGTGTGGCGTCTGCCCACCTGTGTGTGAGGTGCAAGGCCACCCTGAGGATATACCAGGCTCTTGGCAGCTCTCCTCATGCCCCGAGACACTCAGGAGCTCTGAATGTGTGTGTTTGTGTGTGCATGTGCATGTGGGCACATGCAGCTTGGTGGCATGCATGTAACTCTATTTGTGTCCGTGTTTGAATTTTTGTCTCTGCTGTTTTATTTGACACTGTATTTGTGTGTGTGTGTGTGTGTGTGTGTGTGTGTGTGTGTGTGTGTGT